CAAATTATTTTTCTCTAAAATCACTTAGCCTTAGTTTGCCTCAAAAGTCACATGAATGTGCCCTATCTGTGGATTACAAGTTTATTGTTTGATTTAAATTATGAATTTATTAACGGGAGCTTCGCTTTTAGCCCTGGCTAAATCTATGTATTATTTTCTGAATTAAACTGTTGAAAGGACGGGGTAAGTTTTATCTTTTGTTTTCTTCTAAAGATCCATCCCTCCTCTCGTCATCTCAGCTCCAATTGAACAAATCATATTAAAACCCCCTAGACCAAATTACTGGAAAATTTATTGACGTGAGCCACACACACATTCCACTAGCCTTCATGATTCCCTAGAAAGGTGTGAAATTGAGAGGTGTAGTGTAAGTGAACCAGAGTTCAAACACAATCATCATCACAAGTTAAGAAGTCTTGCCAGTAACGGTTTAGTAAATTTCGGTAATTGTCTACATGTATAATTCCCAATAAGTAAATTAAATCAATGATTACATGTAAAGCTTTGTCAACTGTTTTCTCAATACATGGGCCGGGTTGTTCAAAGCTGGGTTAAGATATCCACAGGAAGCCCAGCTAGCAGCGATTTATTCCGTACAGAAACAGCGCGCTGACTATGTTGATGCAGGACTCGCTTGGTAAGAAAAGCCAAAACATTCAGCATACCTACAAACAGTTCTTGTACACAAAGCTACCACGGGTATTTTGGTAATTGCTGATTGTTTTCTCTGCTTGGTTTGCAGGAGGTAAAGCCAAAACGCTTATGTTTGTGAACATTTCTCCAGCGAATTGCAACAGAGATGAAGCAGTTACATCTCTCATGTGAGTGCAGACTTCCTTTATTCTTGTGACAAGGTTTGAGGAGAAACTTGTCGTAAACATTTGCTCCGTCTTGTTAGTTTGTTTCGGTCTTGTCCATTGTACCAATACAGGGTCTGTCGCAGGATGAGTAAAATATCTTCTTTAATGACAAATATCCAGCTTTGAAAAAAACAAAAACAAAATAATCCCATGGTATGTTGGACAGTGGAGTCAGCACAAGGCCTACTCCGCTAATGACACAAAGGAATTAAACCACCCTCCTAGTTTTCATTTATCCTTTATATATAGTTTAGACTATTTACACAAGATAAGTTCCATTTCGTTATTCTTCAAGAATAATACGATGACACTCTATTGTTAAGGCACCCGACACAGTCCCGATTACTATCAAACGGGGGGAAGACATTAATTAGCAGATTTAGTTTCTTAAAATATTTGTATGCCTTTTGAAAACACCAATATCTGAAATGGTAGTTTTATCAAAGCTCTTTGATTTCCTGAATCTCGTGTTTTGTTTTATTCTTATCAATGTGGTTGAAGTTAAATATGCTCATTTATGTAATTAGTTTAGACTATTTACACAATATAAGTTCCATTTCGTTATTCCTCAAGAATAATACGATGAAACTCTGTCGAGTCAAGGTCATGAAAATTTATTGTATACCCAACACGTAAAACATACACATTATTAAAATCTATTTCCAGTTGCTGTGCTATAAAATTATGCAAGTCTAAATTTTTAACAATAACACCACTATAATAACACAAAGCCATTTTTGCTGTATTTGCTGATTTTGTTAACCATAAGAACAACTATTTATTTTTAAGTGTAATGTGAATTGTGTTTCATCTTTTCCTGTTCGATCAGAAATTGATATTTCATTTGACTTTAATAACAATGTTTTGAACCTATTGCTGATAACAGAGGGTGAGAAGAAACATTATGTGCTCATTTCAAATGACCCACAAAACAATAAAGAAAACTAGGAAATCGCGAAATTGAAGGGAGTAAGAGCAGTATAGCAGTATATAACTGCTGGATTGGCCGTTAAGGCACCCGCAACAATCCCGATTACTATCAAACCAGTGGAAGACATATTAATTGGAAGATTTACTTTCTTAAAATATTTGTATGCCGTTTGAAAACACCATTATCTGAAATGGTAGTATTTATGAAGCTCTTTGATTTCCTGAATCTCGTGTTTTGTTTTATTCTTATCAATGTGGTTGAAGTTAAATATGCTCATTTATATAATTAGGTTAGACTATCTACACAATATAAGTTCCATTTTGTTTTTCCTCAAGAATAATACGATGACACTCTATCGAGTCAAGGTCATAAAAATTCATTGTCTACCCAAGACGTAAAACATACACATCATTAAAATCTCTTTCCAATTGCTGGGCTATAAAGTTATGCAAGTTTAAATTTTTAACAATAACAACACTATAATAACACAAAGCCATTTTTGCTGTATTTGCTGATTTTGTTAACCATAAGAACAACTATTTATTTTTAAGTCTAATGTGAATTGTGTTTCATCTTTCCCTGTTCGATCAGAAATTGATATTTCATTTGACTTTAATAAGAATGTTTTGAACCTATTGCTGATAACAGAGGGTGAGAAGAAACATTATGTGCTCATTTCAAATGACCCACAAAAGAAGAAAGAAAACAAGGAAATCGCGAAATTGAAGGGAGTAAGAGCAGTATAGCAGTATATAACCGCTGGATTGGCCGTTAAGGCACCCGCAACAGTCCCGATTACTATCAAACCAGTGGAAGACACATTAATTAGGAGATTTTTTTAAAAAAATATTTGCACTGTATGCCTTTTGAAAACACCAATATCTGAAAAGGTAGTATTTTTAAAGCTCTTTGATTTCCTGAATCTCTTCTTTTGTTTTATTCTTATCAATGTGGTTGAAGTTAAATATGTTCATTTTTTCTTGTCCACTTATATCTAAGCCTCTCTTAGTCCTCTGTAACTATATTTTTCGCAAAATGCGTATAATAAACTCGATTGGTGGGGGCTCCCCTCATGTATCATTGCGTTGTTTTGTCTGTTAATACTTATCACGTAGCGATAGAAAATAGAGCTCTGGTATATTCCACAATGAACTAAAGAGAGCTTTCATTTTCCTCAGAAATAAATGCTGAGAGTTCATGTTTGTATCTTTTTGCTAGAATCATTTTTGAAAGTAGGAACTTAACTTCTGGAGCTGTTAGAAAAGGAAAGGTGTGTTTGCTCACTCTGGTTCTGGAGTAAGAAAGTTATTTTCAAACTATAGCCTGAAAATCAAATTCCCACCGCGGTTGTAATCGTTCTTCCTAGTCGACTGGTCTTTTTTTTACTGGTGATTTCTTTTTGTTCACAACTGATGCTGGGCATTTCGGATCATCACACGTTTCTGGGAAACTACCCACCTACCCCTCCCCTAAGCAAACAGTTACACAAAACTCTCGCTTAGGTGGGCAGTTTTACAGAAACTTATGATGATTTGCCAGTAGGAGCCTATCGGCTTCTGTCGTCAGTTCTTTACTTGATCTTGGATGAAATTTATTACTATTTCCCTTAAAATCCACTATTTTCTTGTTGGTAACAAGTTTTTATCTCCCACGTGCGTTTGGTAGGTATTTTATGTTGTTTAAGGCTGGTTAGGTTGAACTTTCATTATTCATATTTTTAAAATAAATCCAAATTAAGCGTATTTTAAGTGCATCTGTCACAAAAAACCGACCACTTATCTATGGGAGCCATGAAATTCGAAATCCTTCATTCTCATGATTTTTTGTGGAATGATAGCATTACATGTACTGATTACACAGAACATAAAAGTTTGGCAGGCTGCTCTTAATAAGCCAAGAAATTGGGCAGCCTTTTTTCCGTAATCCGAGGACTAAATTTTATCATCAAAAATAACAAAAATGGGGCACATTTCATTCTTTTTTTCTACATAGTTAAGAGAAGATGACATCCTTCCTTGGCAATATATGGAAATGGCGTCGTATATGCTCCAAGGAAATATCATTAAAATCACCTACCATATAAAGGTAAAAAATTCAGAGGTGATCAAAAGTGAACATCTATGTTAATTTTCAGATACCAACATTTTCCACTTTTTTTAAAATGCCACAACTGCATGTTCCAGTAATTCAGAGATTTTATTTATATATGGGTTTAAAGTAGATAGCCCCAGCTTCCGAAAGCTACCAAGAACTTAATGGGCAATAGCATATTATGTGTCTCATGAGCTGCGCCTTCTACCTCTATTTTGTAAACTAAAGGAAAAAAGGTGTATTTTAATGTCTTAACAACTTGTCGTCCTTGAGAAGTTTTAAGAGATTTAAAACATCCTTAACGTTTGAGAAGACGTTTCCTGTCACAATCACATTTTTTATTGTTGTTTCTATTACTTTTTTTTGCAGATAATATAAAAAAACTGAGTTTTTGGAATTTATTAGACGAGGGAAAGTGGGGTGGGGGGAAGGCAGAAAGTGTCTCTTTACCTCCAAAAGTACATATGCTATTGAGTAGCAACCTTTTTGAAATGTTAAGTGCCCTGACCCTCTTAAGTTCATTGTAACAACGTTTTAGCCGTGACGTCATATTAAGTCACATGACGTTATCAACTTCAAAATCCGCCCTTTCGAAATTTTAGATGGTGACAAAATTTCCAACAACTGGCAAAAAAGGATTAAAAATTAAGAATAAGTCTTAAATAGTTGAGAAATGCAATTTTGTTGTTGCCATCGTACGTGTCTTAAATGATACTTAACAAGTTGAACTTAACTTTAAGCTGTTTAGACAGAATGTGGCCAAAATAGTCCAGTATCATGTTACATATTTCAGTGCCCTATCGGCTACTTCTTATTGCAAGTACAACTGCTTAACACATTTGTTAAAACAACATTATACGGAGCTTTACGGCGCTTAAAGTCGTCAGTTTCAATGTCAAGTGAGTCACAGATGTCTTTTAGATCAGCAATGCTAAATTTCTTTGTTAATTTCCCGTCTGCAGCTAACTTGCACAGGTTGTAGGACTTGTAGGTGATGGGATGCTCCAACTGCAGATTGCCGAATACCACCTTCTTTCTAACTGAAATGTCCTCATCGTGTTCCTGCATTTGTTCTTCAGCCAAAAATTCTTCTACCTCCTCCGAACTGGCAGCTGCGTTTAAAGAACCGTGTTCTTTTTTGTTCCTGCAAGATGAGAAAAGTATGCTGCAATCTGTTGAGAACTGAGACAATCACCCCCAACAAACAGACGATTACCCTTATAATCTCGTTCTCTGTGCATTTCCCGAGCAACTGGAGTTGGCGATGCCTTATTTCCCGTTTCCTCGCCAATAAGGAATTTGTCATTTAGATACGCTTTAACAGCTGTAGTTAATGCCCATCCCATGGTGATATTGCTAACCCTCTTTCCACTCTGCTCAGACTGACTTGGATAATTAGCCCCGAAAGGTGGCTTTGATAGTTCGTCATTTACCACATCAGCATAGCGACACCTTATGTAGTCGAACTGAGACTCTCTGGGTAAGCGACGGACGTGATTTCCGACATCCAGGTGCCTCTGGAGCTCTGTTTCAGAATCAAAAGAGCAAGTGCACCCGCCAGTAGGGCACTCAAATAATGCATCACTTTCAACGTTTTCAGTATCTGTAGGTGTGGCCTTTTCCTCCTCAGTGTGTTTGGAACTCCTTGCCATTGTTCCGCTGGAAAGGCATGCTTCCGGAAAGGCCTGTACTACCTTAACCTTTGGAATTTCAGCTGACGGCATATTGTCTTGTACCACGCGTTTTCCTTTTCCAATGTCAAATGCTTTCCAAAAGCGTATGCCACCTTCTTCGTAACGAATGTTGTGAATCTGACTAATTCCTTTTATTTTCACGTTTGTGTCAATAGGCCATTTGCACTAAGAGGCATGTGACATCGTTTTTATGAAAATGAAAGTTATATGATTTTGCCTTCGAAAAACGATTAGGGGTCAAATCTCAAACAAAATAATAGTCATTTGGTTTTTCAAACCCGCACCATTTTCTTAAAATGAATAAGTTCGTAAATAGTCACGTGACCAAAATCTGATTTTTAAAATTATGAATTATCTCTCTCTCAACACAAATTTTGCACTTAAACTTCAAGGAAAATGTTGAAAAGATGATGTGATAACGTTTACAGCACATCTGAGCGTAACTATGAAACGTTGAACAAGATATAAGCAAGAAGTAGTTTTCGCCGCTATGTTGGAGGGCAAAAGCATGCCCTCCAACATGGCGGCCAATACAAATCATACTACGCTGCTGAAAAATCAAAGTGCCATAATATATCTACCTTCAATGCGTTTCCTCTCAAATTTCGGGTGTAAGATAAGTTTTGTGTGCTCTAACAATTTTTGGCATCAGCAAGATCCCAACTCATTGTTTAAAGGAAGCATTGGTCACGTGACCTCTTAGTGCAAGTGGCCTATTTGGCTGGATCTCTGTGGCATTTCTACAACGCTCACTCCACCATTACTTTCCAGGGCCTTTTTTAGATCACACGCTGTCAGAATGTCGGTCTTCGTCTCTGCCACAAAGCGCCTTGCATGTTGCTTCATTGTTGCTGTCTTTCGATCGCATATGTCTTTGCTACGTTGAGCTTCGCTGAATTCGAAGTCATAGCCAATGACTCTGATCCCAGTTTCATGACCAATACTGGGGAGGCTAGTCAAAAGATATCCTCCGTGATAACATCCGGTATTGTCTGGTCTAAAATAAACTCCTGTTAGCTCTGGGTACAGTTTTTTAAGTGTGGACAGTGTGTTCTGGGTAATTGAAGCCACTGCGATCTGGTCCTGATCGCAGTTGTCGAAGACATGGACAAAAACTTCTACTGATAAAGAGGATTCTGGCGTTTTTCTTATCACTGCTGTGACGTGCCAGTTTATACCACGCTTTCCATAAAACTCGGCTGATTTTTCCTTGAAGTGCAGTGGCAAAAATTTCATCGCCCAATAGTCAGGAGACGCAGAGGAAATGTCACTCGTTGAATCGTTCACGACATGCGTGCTGTAGTCCTGCTTTAGGTAACGTTTGCAGGACAAGGCCATTGAACGCAGCCTGTGAGCCTTACTATTGGGCATCCCTCCGTCATAGAACTTGCTGATAATTTCTTCTAAATTTTCGAATGCCTCTGATCCGTCCGCCGTGTAGTTGTCCAGACCTTGAAGAGATTTTCTTGTCGAAGCTGGGCAGACTTCAAGAATTCGGAACAAAGTTCTTGTACTGGCCGGTTTAAAACCACTTTCGTCACAAATCGTCAAGTACTGTGCGATGATTCGAGCTGGGATCAATTTTCGTATTGGCTTTGGAATCACTAGTTCCACTCCACTTTCGAGTTTCATTTGGAAGTACCGTATGCTGTGTCTTGTGAAATCATGTCGCTTGTTATGACCCTTAAAAAGTGGTCAACTTTGTCTTCACTGAGAAAGAACCTGTGAACTGGAGCTGTAGGTACTGCAGTGCCTGGTCCATGTTCTTTACAATGCTTCTTAGCCTCCTTTATACGAAAATCTGTCAGACCAGGAATTAGGTCTTTCAATTGCTTTCTCTTAAAATTTTGAGCAAATATTGACAAAATTTCTTTTCTCGATTTTGAAGACTGTGCATTGTTATAGGCATCAATAAGATTTCGTAAAGTGTTGTCCGAGAAGGTGTTAGGGGAAATTTCTTAATCTTCATCACGGTCGTTATCGCTGTTGCCAAGACCCGTTATTGAACTGTTTTTCAAGTAATTCCAAAGCTCTTCACCTTGGCCAGGGGTAATTGATTCCAACACTGGTCTAACTCCTTGTTTAGCGAACGACGCATAATAATGTTTAGTACGAGGATGCAAGCCTTTCCACTATTTCATCAGAACAGAATCTAGATGTCTAAATGGCTCACTTATCCCAGTCGCTTCATGTAATTTGTACACATACTGGTTGTAGGCAGTTTTTGCACTCACTGGTGTAAGTGGTTGTTTGTAATCTTCATCACTAATTAAGGAATTGTTCATACCAGAAGGGCTGCTAAACATCTCAGGTGGAATAGGGAACCTTTTACGGGGTGGGTTGCTCTAAGCTGCAATATTCTCTGAAGTTGGCTGCTGTGAAGACTGAAGTTGTTTCAGATGGCAAGCGTGCTTTTCCCGACACTGACGGCACACACCTAATATGCATACAAAGTACGTGTAAAAGATTCATACTTCATATCAACAGACCAAAAAGCCATAAGGGTAGCGGTACATGCTTCGTTGACGCTTCCTTTTATTCAGTGAATAATAGCACACTTTCATGAGAAACCTTATTTTCAGTAATGTTATCTCCTGGTGCGATCTGTACTGTTTGCATGACCGGGCCAACAAACGAACAAATAAACAGCTTAGTAATGAGTTCAGATGACCCTTTCCCACTCATTTTGATGAACATAGGCAAACCCCTAAAATTCTAAACAAACCGAACGCACGAACAAAACCAATTGCTCAAAATTGCCAAGAAAGTGGGGGAAGGAATGAAAACCTCTTTTAACAGCTAAAATTTTGACAAATAAGAAAGAGCATCATATCCCTCTCCTTCTCCCTTCAATACCTATTCATACTAAATATTGCACATCCTGTAATAACATGTAAATATTTTTATAAATAATGTCAGTACTCACGTAGGTAAAACCCACGGAGGAATTGTAAAAGGTTTGGGTTGGGGTGCTTTGCTGGGGGTCTAGTAACCAGGAATGTAATACCAGATGAGATACGACTTGTTATATTTCTAGAACATGTGGTCTCACGTTCAGACCCAGTTCCCTAGCAGATAACACGACTTCTCACTGCCCTAACTGGAGATCAGAAACCGCATAACATCTCCTTGCTTCCATAGGAGATAAGAGGCAAAATGCCAAACAAACATTGAAAAAGGCAGACTGTCAGATTGTGACGGCTAGACCATGTGGTCTCATGTTTGACCCTAGTCCCTTAAAAGATAACCCAACGCGACTTGAAATTGATAAAGGCAGAAGTGTTTATACCCAGCCACTACACTATTCCCCTTACAGACCACGACAACATCCAGTGGAAAACACCCTTATAGCATAAATTTATAAAAAGTAGTGCCCTCCCCCCCACCCATTATGTGTGTGAAGAATGTAGCTGAAGAAAGAAAGTAAGTTAGGGGGAGATATCCTGTTGTGAGTGTACTGACAGTAATCAGTGTGACGGCAAAGGGAAGTATTTGATCTGTTTCCCCCTGGGTGCTGGTTTATCGTGTGCAACTTTTAGGCACTATAGCACGAGGCAATTTTTCTTGCAACTTGACTCGCACTGAAGTGAACCTGACGACTGGAACATTTCTCGGTTTTATAGCAAGCCTTGCACGAAGCAGAATCAAGGCCTCTTTTTTTGCAACAAATGGCAATGCTGTAACAATATTTTACGTGTTGTCCGGGGATGTTACCCTAAGTAACGCCTCCTGTAACTTGTCGCAACGGCGCAACAAGAATGCGGGACACGTTACACGAAACATTGGCAAGTGTATCAGCGCCGAACAAATATAAACAGATTAATGACAAGATATTACTTGAAACACTTACGAGATCCAATAATACGGTGTAAACCATACATTAACATGATTTCTTTTGCCATATCTGGTGTGACGTATCTATCAGGAATTGAAACCTTTCGCTTCTGAGTACTTTGAGTGTGTTTGGGATGACAGCAAGCGGTGGATGGTCTCCAGTGTTGGGCAAGCTCGAAGCGGTGTGCCGGACATATTGTAATGACATTTTTTTGTTCATCATTTACATCTTGAATGCCTAAAATTATAATGTGTTAATAGTGATGCTTATTTCGCATATAATGCAATTCATTAGGCATGTTGTGTTTAAACAGTTACCTGCTCTGTTTAGAAGTAAATCTTTTTCCTGAATTTTCCATGTTTCGTGTTGAGGGGTTAAAGTCTCCAGCGAAGTCAGCAGAAGTTTGCTGTTTTCTTCTCTGACTTGTCGATTGCCACAAGGAATTGAGCTTGCCGCTCGCGCAAATGAACAAAACATATCTTTCCTGCATTCACCGAGGCATCGTTGAAAAATATATAGATCTAAATAATTTCTTGTCCATATGCTACTGCTCCGTTAGAAAATATCGTACAAATGGCTTCAAGTAACATCTCCCTTTTATAAAATGTGCCATTCAGCCGTAGCCAATAAGAGATCTCTGTTCCCACGCTTTATAACCGCGGCTCACGCGCGGTAAGTCTGCAATGATAACCGGTTACAAGGAGGATTCATACCATTCCTGGATCCATCCTTAGTATATATGCACAAATTATCGAGAAAGGACTGAAAATTTCAAAGGATTAATTAAAAGCCCCAGCCATAAGTTTCGTGAAGATGCGGTGTCTGTTGAATCGAACAATACTCACTTTCTGATTTCGTTGTTTGAAAACTTTTTGAAGGACATCCTTAAAAGTGCGCCGTACCTTTTTGGCACGCTTATTAACGAAAGGGTCGTTAAGTACCTACGACGACTAAGAATGTCACTCACCTCTAGGTCTAGCTACCCGTTACAGCGAAATAGCGTCTATTTCAGATCACTTTAGTCGATTTAGCGGGATCAGAACGATTGAAAAAGGTGGAATCAACTCCCGCACAAATGAAGGTAACAAAACGCCGCCTTACTAGTATTCTGTGCTTCCAAAACTGATCACTTAGCTAAGAGGTTTAATTCACGTGTTGTTGCTGACTGCTAATATATAAATGGTTATGCACAAGT